CAGACCCCACAGCGGGCGTGGAGGGATCCCAGAGCCCAGCGGCCAGACTCCTCCTCCCGTACGCCTTTCACTATGTCAGTACAGTTTTGGTAATATTATTATACTAGAGGTCCTATGCACCAATTCATGCACGAGTGGGGTCCCAAGGGGTGGGGGAGTCAGGACGCAATCAGCCCTCCGGACGGGCAGTGGGACACCCTTGCCGGCCTGGGACCCGGATCCTTCCCGCTGACATTCGCACCTGTTTTCAGGAGCCACCTGGCAGCTGCTTTTATATTGCTTCTTCCTTGCGGAGCGTCTAGGAAGGGGAAGTGGCTGCGGTGCCCGAGACCAACTTCCAGGAGGCCAGGGGCACTGTTGGGATCGTGCCAGCAGCGCTGGTCCCTCAGTGCCTGGCCCATTCTCCCAAGATTGGACCTGCAGGGAGTGGCTGCCTGCAGGCTGGTGGGCCGCCTGGACGGGTCTCAGCTGAACGGCCCACCTGCTGTGGGAGCACACTGACCACCAGGGGGCAGCTCCTGCATTGAGTGTCTGCCCCCTGGTGGTCAGTGCGCGTCATAGCGACTGGTGGTTCTGGTCTTTCAGTCACTTAGGCCTTTATATAGATTTAAATTGCTTTTCTTGGAATATTACTGTTTATTGCATGTAACACCGGGTCTCAGCTGAACGGCCCACCTGCTGTGGGAGCACACTGACCACCAGGGGGCAGCTCCTGCATTGAGTGTCTGCCCCCTGGTGGTCAGTGCGCGTCATAGCGACTGGTGGTTCTGGTCTTTCAGTCACTTAGGCCTTTATATAGATTTAAATTGCTTTTCTTGGAATATTACTGTTTATTGCATGTAACACTTAAAATCATTTTTCTTGAAACATTAATGTTTATTGCAAGTAAATGGCTAATTATTTTGTATCTACAATCTGGTAATAGATTTATGTTGTATATTGTAAAAAAAATCAAATAAAATAAGAGAAAAAAAGAATATTGCCCAAAATGCTACCCATCATCTGAACCTTCGGCGCTCATAATGTTTGCTGGTGGAGGGTCTCGCCTCCACGCTGACGGCTGCTGAAGGTTGGGGTGGCCATGGACATGTCTTAAAATAAGACAAAAAT